GGTGGAGGGTGCGGGGCAGGGCCCAGAGGGGTGATGGAGGCGGGACGAGGCCTGAGGGGGGTCTGGGGGCTGCGGGGGGTCGGGGGCAGCGGGAATCCCACGGGAGGGTATCCCCGGGCTGGGAGGGGGGTAGCGGGCAAGGCCCCGGCGGGAGGGGAGGGTGGGCCGTGGTGATGAGTTAGGGAACAGGGCCGGGGGGCTGTGGGGGTAGAGGGGCACTGAACATCCCCCCAGGAGGGACCTCGGAGGGTCCCCCCAAGCCTGGGGAGTCCCTGGGGCTCAGTGAGGAGGGTTGAGGGTCCCCCCGAGCCTGGGGGGTCCCTGGGGCTCATTGAGGGGGTTGGGGGTCCTCTCGAGCCTGGGGGGTCCCAGGGCCTCAGTGAGGGGGCCTGGGGGTCCCCCCTTTTCTCCCTGTCCCACCCCTGGAGAGCAGCACCCGGCTTGGGGTGGGCGGAGCTGCCGACCATGCCAAACCTTTCCATGACTCCCCAGGAGCCTGGCACCGGTCTAGGGATGTCCCCCCAAACCTGGGGTTCCCCCCAACCTCCCCGTTGACGCCTTGTCCCCCCCCAATCCCGCAGGGCCCCCGCCGATGGGACGCTGTGTCCGGCCGCCGGGCGCGGGGGGCTGTGAGCAGGTCAGCGAGTGCCCCCCTCACCCTTTGCCCTCCCCGCTGCCCCCCTCCCGTCCCGCTGCCCCCCCGTGACACCCTCCCCGTGTCCCCGCAGGCCCCGCCATGCCCCAGGCCTCGGAGCACCGCCTGGGCCGCGCCAGGGACGCCGCCGCGGGCACCGCCGTGGTGACGGCGCAGCCCCGGGCGGGGGGTGCCCGCCTGCCCAGCGGTGGGCACCGGGCGCTGAGCCAGGAGCGCCATGCGGCCCCCAACGGGCTGTCCCCGGCCCCCAAACTGCGCCTGCTGCCCCCCCGGCCGCCCCCGCCGCCGCCCCCCGATGAACCCCCTCCCCGCGGGCCCAAGAAGCTGGATCCGGAGCGGGGCCGGGCGGCCAAACGCGGGGACCCCCCCCCAGCCGCCCCCCCCCGCGGGCCGGGGGGCCGCCGGGGCCCGGTGAAGGGCGACCACGGCGTGAGGGTGCCCGGGGGGGCCCCGGCGGTGCCCGGCAGCGCCTCCTTCTCGCTGCCCAGCGCGGCCGAGCGGCGCCGGAGCAACTTGGCCCGCTCCAAGTCCATCAGCATCGGCGACCTGAGCCAGGGCGGCGGCGGCGGCGGCGGCGGCGTCACCGCCGTTGGTGGCACGGGTGGCACCCGCGCCGAGGACGTGGCGGTGGCGCTGAGCCGGCTGGTGCTGCGGGACTGCGGGCACCCCCTGGGCGCGCTGGCGCTGCGCAGGAGCTCCTCGCTCCGCAGGGTCGCCGTGGCCCCCCCCGGGCAGGACGGCAAGGCCGCGGGGGTCTCGTCCCCGGTGGCGCCGGTGCCGCCGCCGCCGCTGCTGCTGTCGGTGCGGCCCCCCGAGGGCGGCCCCCGGCCCCGCCCGGACCCCGCCCCGTACGGCCCCGGCAGCCCCGGCAGCGGCAGGAGCGAGGACAAGGCGGCTGCTGTAAGAGATGGGGGGTCGGGGGGGCACGGGGGGCACCCCTGGGCTGTGCCCAGGGCAGGGAGTGGGGCCATGGGGTGATACCTTGGGTGGCCTGGCAGGGGGCACGTGGGGGGATCTCTTGGGTGTCCCTAAGGGGCCATGGGGGCATGGTGGGACCCCCAGGGTTTGCCTAGTCAAGGGGATGTGGTGAGACCCCCCCCCAGGGTATCCCTGGTCAGGAGAATGTGATGGGACACTCTGAGGGTCATCAGGGGGTCATGGGGACGTGGCAGGACACCCAGAGTGTCCCTAAGGGGCCACGGGGACATGGCGAGACCTCCAGGGTGTCCCCAGTCAAGGGGATGCGATGGGACACCCTGGGGGTCACCAGGGGGTCATGAGGATGTGTTGGGACCCCCAGAGTGTCCCTAAGGGGCCATGGGGATGTGGTGGGACCCCAAAGGTGTCCCTGATCAGGACAATGTGATGGCACACCCTGGGGGTCACCAGGGGGTCATGGGGACGTGGCAAGACCCCCAGGGTGTCCCCAGCCTTGAGACCCTCACAATGTCCCTGGCTGTGGGGTCAGTGGCCCCACCAGGGTGGGACAGTGCTGGTGATGTCACCTCTCCCTGCCCCAGTCCTGCTTTGGGGACCCCCACAGCTCCAGGGGGGGCAGATGTGGCCGGTACCACCCCTGTGGCTTTGGGGACACTGGGGGGTGGCCAGTGTTGTCCCCTGTGGCTCTGGGGGGACTGAGAGGTGGCCAGTGCCATCCCTGTGGCTTTGAGGGGCTGGTGGTGACCAGTGCCACCCCTGTGGCTCTGGGGGGACTGAGAGGTGGCCAGTGCC